TTTCTTTACTGCAAATAATGTATTCAGTAATTTCTTTTTCCTGAGTCTGCATTTCTGATGGAAACAGTTTACAACAACAAGCATGAGAAAACTGAAGGGATGTGTGCAAGATCAATTTGAATCTAATAGAAGGGATAAATGAAAGGTACAGAGGTTAAAAGAAAGGTAGAAAATCCCAGGAGGCAGAGGAGTAGTGGAGTGTTCACAGCAAGCACTGGAGAGTCAGAGCTCCTGCATTCTGCCTTCCCGTTCATAGCAGTGATCTGGGGCTACACAGCCTCCCTCATATGAAACAGACCTTGCAATATCATTCTGTGCAAAATCTATCATTCTGAGCTATTCCACTGTATAAAAATTACCTTTTAAGTGGCTAAGTAGACACCCAGCTTTATTCCTTTCTTCTTATTTCAGGAAACAATGGGAGTAACAGCACTTGCCTGCCTTACTAGAGTGCTGAGAGCTTTAATTAATGTCTCTAATTCAATTTGAACTCCTTGGATAAAAGGCGCTGCCTTGTGACAGCAAAGGTATTGCCTAAAATAGAATATAATTAACACACAGATATCAATCACGATGAAATTAAGTGTACATTCAAATACAACTTGCACTTTACAGAAAGTACTTGCCTATTTTTCCTCCAAGAATCCTGAAGACTCATAAGACAAGGAACATTTAATGTTCCAGGCTGAATTCAGATTAGAGTAAGGCCATCTTAAAACACCTAACAAACTAAAAGGGGGTTGTAACAGAAATCTCCATTTGCACTGATGGATGTGCCTTCATGATGGATGATGCTGGAAACTGACTGTAACGTGACTCAGAATCAGTACATCTAATATTTTCTTCTCCCAGCACTTATTTACAGTGAACTCTAGCCTATGCTCTAGCTCACCCACCAATCATGTTTATTAACAGATGTGACAATTGCACGATCATGTTTGTTGACATGAACCAGAAGGACCCAGATCACTGCATTGCTCTGTAGTGCTCCTGTGTGGAAATAGGCTTTGTAGCTTGGATTTTTTTAACTGCTGCATTACAAAGCTTGATGACACCTTGATGGTGATGGTTGTCATTCATTGCTCATAGGACAGGAACACCTACTGAGCCATACGGGCAGCAAGACTGTGTTCTGCTAGGTGCTATACCCAGATGATAGCCTCTCCAAAAAGTTCATGGTCCAAGCAGTCAAACAAATACAATTGTGTCTCCATGCTGATAATTGGAAAGTGAGGCAAAAAAGCATGTAAGGGCACTGCCCAAGATCATAGCAGGTGTCTGGAGCAGAATCAAGCAGAATGCTGGATTCGTAGATCAAAACCCAGTGTCTGACTCCCCCAAGCCTCCCTTTTAGTGCAGAGATTGCTTCTGTGCCAGATTTAGCTTTTAGTTAGTCTTGGGTCTCCTACACAAGGGCTGTATACTTGGAGACACCACCTCCCTGCCCCTTCTTCCCCCATCCCTTTTGCTAAATCCCCAGAACATATCTTACATCTGTGGAGCCCCATAAAGACACCTAACAAATTAATTTCAGATTCAAACTTGTTAGCAGTTAGATTGAATGCACCTCACTATATTGCCTTAGACACAAAATAATCCCACTTTAGTAAGTTTTATAGCTTCCATGGGGACCAGCCCTGTGGTGTGTATTAATCTTTAATGCAAAACAACATCTCTTCAGCAGCTACAGGGGGGAAAAAGATACTACTAAAAAATTAAAGTTGATGGTGTGATAGTTGTCTAGACCCAATTGCGCTCTACCATCCTCCATTGCCTCAGGCACCGTTCCCTGCTCTCCACACTGATACAGCCAGCTTCCAGACTGGAGATGTGTCCATTTCTTCTAGTGATCTCAAGGCATAGTCTCCCCATGTCTTAACACTTGGTTAAGAGCCATCACGACTCTAACTTTGACCTAAAAGGAAAGGAAGGCAGGATGAAGAGGTGCATAAGGGGAATTAGGGAATATCTCCTCTCTTTTACAAACTGGTATTTCCCCAGTGGTTTATGCTCGCATGTGGGAGGACACACTGGGATTTCTCTGAAACCCATTTCATTTGGCTCTTGTATTTCTGTTCGCACTTGCACTGCGCTGGGAACTGGAGGTGAGCTGTCACTCCGCTTTGGTATGTAAAAGCTCCCTTCCTCTCTTTGCAATAGAAAGTCAGTAGAAAGTGAAATGTTTAAAGAAAAACTGATCCAGGCTGGCTGGTGAAGGAAGTGGTTATGGCTGAGTTTAATGAACAGACAACCAAGTGACTTTGGACAACATGTACAGAACAACTGATTGTTATCAGCAATAAATCTGCATACCTGTCCAATGGCAAATATGCTGAGTTTGCAGCTGCTTACTGTGATGGGACAGCACTGTAGATCTGCAAAGAGCAGCAAGGCAGAGAAGTAGCCTGGATGGAGAAGCAGGAGAAATGAACTCCTGAACTGGAATTTGGAAATGCTGAGGGTGGCAAGTAGCTGGGAGCATTTCCCAGTAATCACCTCGAGTTCGTGACCGCTGTGAGTGGAAACAGAGATGTACTGTAGCCTGCTTGGAATATGTCTGTTTCCCTCAATGTGGGGCTAGAAACTTCCCAAACCCTAGTTTTGTAAGGTAGAGCAGAACCAGTCCTTTCTGAGAGGCAAGGGACTAAAGCACCAAGAACTGCCACATTTATGGGTGAAGCAGGTGTCAGTGGTGAAGGCTAATACTAAATACATACCTCCAGAACAGGAACAGCCTCCTCAGTCAGGAGCTACAGGTACCATTAGGTTTAATAACAGTAATATTCTATCTGCAATCGGAAAGAAGTTTATACGTGCCCAACAGAAAAAGTGAACATTTGTTGACTTTCCCATACTTAATTTTTTTTTCATTTCTTCATGTAATGCAACAGCTGACTGTCATTTTTAACCAGACTTACACAACTCCGTTTTGTCAAGTGCTACTGAGCTCACTGCAGCTCCACAAACACATGCTGTGCACACGTGCAGACTCCCACACACTCCGGCGTGCGCACACACTCGGCGCTTGTGCTCCCCGTCGCACTCCCGGCTTCAATCCACCCGCGCAGTAGACATGCATGCTCACTGCTGTGAGCTGCAGCTTTGTCATGCTCCTGGTGAAAGCTCCTGGAACAGAGGGCACAGCCACGCTGACCACAAATGCTGATGCCCTCTGGTCGATACTACGCTGCTCACACCAGTCAAGGTCTCACATTCACACGCAGTGCTGCAAACATGCATGGCACCTCTAGCACACCTCGGTTTGGCCTCTCCTACACTCTTAGCAGAACCTTTTCTCTCTGGGAATTACAAACTTTTAGAGTGCTTATGGTAGACTCGGACTCAAACCCAGAAGGGTTTCTGGAGGTGTACAAATAAGCCTGACACTAAATCTCACTGTAGCAGAGCTCTGCATAGCCTAATTTCTCCTGCTTTAAAGAGTAGCTAGTCTCTCTGCACTATATTCCGCAGAAATAGGTGGGTATCACCTGTCCTGAGGACAACTTTTGGCCAGGTTTGTGCTCCCAGAGTGGGGGATGCAGCGTCAAGATCGCTCTGCCTGCCCGGACGTGCTCACCGTGTTGGCACATCCTCCACAAAACTCAGCAAGGCAGCCAGATGGACAGGAGGTGGGCAGGAGAAGTACACATCCTGCATATGGAGAGGACTTTTTCAGAGCAGCGTCAGCAAATCCCAGTGACAAGGAGCACAACCCAACACGCTGGGCTGCTGTTGCAGCCGCGTTGTGGTTAGGAAGCAGAAGGGGAGGGCGTCCACGCCAGGCGCAGGGTGCCAGCTAAGCAAGCCGCTCACCTTCCACCAACGGAGCACACGGCTTCGTTCGGAGAGGGGCATCGCGCCAACAGCATGACTGCGGAGGCGGATGATCTAATGGCTGAAACGCTGGAAATGGGAGTCAGGAGACGAGGGCTCTCTTCCAGCTGTATCTGTGGCTTGCTGCGTAACCTTTGGCAAGGCATTTCACCCCTCTGTTTCTCTTCCCACTCATCATATGTCTTGTCTGTTTAGCCATTAAACACATCGGGGAGAGGAGCTGGCTCGGAGCAGGGCTGTCCGCAGCCATGATATGGTGGGGGGGGTGCAGCAGGCCAGCCGCTCTCCCATCCTGTGAGCAACAGTGTGCCCTGCACCAGGTAGTGTGAAGCAGCCCCTAAAGCTCCCTAGTAAATCTCCTACACTGAATATGCATGTTCAGTATGTCGCCCTGCAGAGCCTTGATCTTGGGAAGAGCCTTGCGGTCCAACCGTAATCGAAATAGCAACAGACCCTGTCCCCCTCCACCAGACACACACCTCCCAAACACCCAGGCAGGAAAGCAGGCTGAGGTGATTTTTATCTTTCGAAGTTTGGCAGGATTTCATAGTCGTGTGTGTGTCTGTGTATGTGTGTGTCTGTGTGTCCGCATGTGCTCGTCACTGAAGCCTGGGTAATTATTTTGTTTTATTTCATTTTTGGCAACACTTTAAAGTAAGAGCTGGGTCTTTATAGATTGCTCAGGTTGCACGGAGTATGGATTACAGATCATCAAAGAGACATGAAAGCAGAAGACACGTTTCTCTGGCACAGCATTAAAGGGACAATAAAGGCGTAATTGTAGCCTAGGGTGTGGCCACCTTCTGCGCCCAGCCTTCACTCGCCTTTGCGGCACTGCGGAGAACTTCACGAGGGCAATGATGGAAAAGCTGGGCTGAGGATGTCTCAGGTCAGGACCTGGTTATTTCAAAGGTGATATATGCTCAGGAGGTTAAAGGCACCACTTAGGTACATGAATAAAACACTGCCAAATACTCTAAGCTGTAACACAGGCAGACTGAAGTCTTTTAAAACTTGATTTTTCATGTCTATTTTCACCCTGAGAGACAGTTGTCAAAGGATCAAAGCAATTCCCATTTTAAAACTCTCTTTTTCTCCCTCTTCCCTCTCCTCCCCTCCATTTCTCTCTCTCTTTCCTTCCTCCTCTTCCCTCTCTTTTTCAACAGGACTCCACAGAATGGAGCAAGAATGAGAGGAAAAAGGCAGACAGAAAAGCATGAACTGGAGGCTTGTTGAGTTCCTCTACCTCCTGTTTATATGGGACCATATACTAGTACAGCCCTCCCACCAGGACCCAGCTGCTACCAACCAACATGTCTCCAAGGAATTTGATTGGCTTATTTCAGACAGGGGGCCTTTCCACCACTCACGGAGCTACTTATCCTTTGTGGAAAGACATCGTCAAGGATTTACAACCAGATATAAAATATACAGGTACGTTGGTTTCCTGCAGCACCTGTAGCTTGGATAAGTTGTTAGGTGGTGGGAACTCATCCAGTTCCCGTGGGCTCAAGGCTCATAGCCAATGGGGGATGCATCATTGTCCCCGTTCCACCTGGAAACGCTTCTTTGGTTCTCCACGGTCCTCAGCTGGCAATGCAAAATGCTTCAAAGACTCAGATGTAATGCTCTGATAGTGAGATGAAGGCACTGCAGTACCATGGCAAAGCACACAACATAGATCGAGGTAAAAAGGGACTGAGGGTCTGGGTGAACTTCATTTGTGGGGACAGATGAATTCATAGGCAGGTTCACAAGCATGTCTATCAAATCAATGTATCTATGGGCAGACCAAGCCTCTGTACCATACATGTGAACTGCCAATAGCTTAAGGTTCACATGGGCAAGAACAGGCATAAAGATGTCAAGACACACATCAGTACGGCAGTTCTCACACTACTGTGCAGGAGCTTTAGCCACAGACCTTTGCAGATTATCTCCACGTATGAGCTGGACTTGCCCCCAGAGCTGTGATCTTGGTTTAAAAGTCTTTCAATTAAAAAACTACAGAGAATAGGCAGAATTTGTATTTTCCTTTGCCTTCTAGGTTTTGAAGTCTTTGTTGTTGCCTGTTTCAAGCTCTTCTTGCCAGCTGTGATATCCAGAAACACACTTTTTCATTTTAATATGAAAAGCTGGGGTGTTCATATGAGCCTCCTATTAAAGCAGCAAGCACTTTGGAGTGAAGGGGAATAAGCCAGCAAGTGTCATGAGATTTGCGCTAAAACCCAAAGAGACTGCAAAACTCTCATAGATATGTGCACATTTACATAATTATCTAGTCCTGTTGTGTTTCAGAAAGACGCTTGCAAACACAACTATGCAAACTAGTAGGAAGGAAAGAAAGTACTGGTGAATAGCCTACTGGCAACATGCACAGAGATACACATGCACGACGACTGGGGGATGGGGGGAGCAGAGAGACCACGTGCGTGTAGGCAGTGTTCTCCCATGGGCAGAAAGCCAAAAGCATTTGCAGAGTAATAGTGACGTGCGAGACATCATCTATGTGTGGGGAAGAAAAATGAGTTGTGCCTGTCCCATGGCCTCCAGGGAGTGCAGCATCCCCTCCCCTTGCACCAGCCCGCAGAGCAAGGGCAGGTTAGCATGGGTTGAAGATGTTGTCCTGGCTTGTCCTCTTCATTCAAAACAGCTCAGGGGGAAGACAGCCCCAAAACCTAGAAATTATGCTGCCACACTTCCACTAAGGGTGTCTCACTGTCTTTGCTTGCACAGAGGAGCAGAGAAAACATGCCTTTTTCAAAAGGACTTTCTTCCTGGTTGTGGATATCCCCAGCTCTCCTCCTGCCCTGCCTGACAGCACACACTCTGATCGAGACTGCAGATCTCTGCCCCACACCATGCCCCTAGCAGTGGCTCTGCCCTTTGCTAAAGAGCTATTCAGCCCCGATTGCCGCTGCAGAGTCTACAGGGGCTGTAGTGGGAGAGAAATGCATGCAATGTATATGTTCAGACACGTCTAAGAACTGTCAGTGTAGGTCAGGCCAGAGATCCATCAAGCCTGGGATGCTGTCTCTGAGAATCATGGAGAAACAGGTCTGGAAGGACCTTGAGAGGTCATTTAATCCATGCCTCTTCCCCAAGGCAGACTCAGCCATACCTGTGTCACATCTGACAGGGGTTTGTGGGCAACCTCTCCTGAAAGGTGATGGAGAATTCACACCCAGAGCAGGCAGCCTGCACTATGGCTTTTCTTTCCCCACCTTTATAAAAGGAGCTAAAATTCTGCTTATATGTGAAGCCTGCAATTTCTAGTTTTATCTGCTATGGGGTGAGAAACAAATTCCCCCTTGGTTTGTAGGAGACTGATAAGAATTTGAAGGCTTAGCTCAGCTCAGGATGAACTTTATACATGGGATGTGGGAAGGGCTCTGTTTTTCTCCATTTCTGCTGGATATTGCCAAAGAACTTAGGAAAGACACTTCTGGCATGGGGAGGACACAATGTCCCCCTTCTTCCAACATGGGAGAAAATGGGCAGCGGCATTCTGCATGCATGGGAGGCTCATGGGTGTGGGGAGGTGTCTGAGAAGGGTCTTGCAGCTGGTCACAATGCTGGAGAAGTCATTATTCACAAAAGAAACTGGAGGTGAGACAGACTCCAATGGAAGTAGTTAGGAGGAGAGTTCAGAGAGATGTGGGAAGAGCACCTAGGGGTGCATCTCATGGCCAAATACCATGTACTAAGCTGAAGGAGGGAGCTGAGGGCTTGGGGAAATCCAGCCATGTATGTCACGGTTTGAGCTGCTTGGAGTTAAGCGCTTTGGAAACACGCTTTCTGGGACTCGCTTTTGCTCCAACCTTGGTCAGCTGAGGAGGAGAGGAAAACCTCATGTGCTTCAGCAGAGCAGATGGAGCCATTAGGTAGAAGGTTGGCTAGATGTTGGAGGGTTGGTTGTTTTTAATATCTGGCCCTGTTGGCAGAACTGGTCACTTAAAAATTGGGCCCATGCATTTTTTAAGGAGTATCAAAATCAGTCTAGCTATGGTGAATTAGTGGAGCCATAGACAACTTTAGCAGTTAAGAGCTGGACTCTGAGCGCACACACACGCTCCAGAACACTCATTTTACCGAAACCCACAGGGGTAAAAATCTCATTTTGTGGGCTCCTTAAATTGACTTCGAGAATCTGTAAAGCTGTTGGGATTTTGTCAACTGTTTAATTCCAAATAGAAGCCTCTTTCCTCCCAAATGGTGTCTCTCAATCGCTCTTTGCACTAGACTAGCCCAGGGGAGGCACATATTCTACATTAAGGATATCACTCCTTTCCTTAGAAAAAGCAGCTGATTTGGAGCATGGGAGTTTTCTGTGTAGTCTTCTCTTTCAACGTTACTTTTCTCCATACTTATTTTGGATGGCTGGTTTATTCTTTGTCCCTCAGTCAGACAGTTCCTTTGGGCAATTGTGATTTTGTTGAATGAGGTTTGACCTGACCACTGCTCTTCTCCTAAGGCCAATAGCAGCAGACTCAAACCAGCCACAGAGACCAAGGATTTGGAGTGGATGTGAAATCAGGCGAGGGGACCTCACCCGTCCCTAATTGAAACACTGTCGCCTGTTTAGTGATGATTTCCCCAGTGTCTTGCTGTGCGGGAGCATGGACACAGCGCATTAGGACCATGTCATTTACATTGAAAACCCACAGAGATAAAGGCACTGTCAATGCTACACAGCAGCATAAGGCAAAATGCAGCATTTTCTCATTTTTTTGCAGGTGATGTTAAAAAGGAAGCAACACCAAACTAAAACATGCAACACTCCTCCTTCTCTCACAGCTGAGGTCCAGAAGTCTCTCAGCAGCAAGCAAAGAGCCTGTTTTAGTTAGCAAGGCTATTTTATATGCTGCATAAGCAGAACTGCTGTAGAACAGCGTAGCTGCCCATCTTTTCATAGGATGCCTGGATCCAGATCTACCATCCTAGCATGGAAAGGAAGTTTGCTGTTACAGTCTCCACAGGCTCATTCCTTCCTTCTGTGTATTGCATTTTAGCAGATTTTAGGTCTCTTTCCCACAAAACTTGGACCACTGATTTTCCTGACCCTCAGTCAAGGTTTGCCTCTTGCATGTGATATTAGGAAGAAGGCAAGCAAAGGGGGAGATGGTTTATATTAAATCATGGACATGTAGGGGTAGATACAATTGCATTAAGGAAGCACATTAATCAGCATCGATTCATACTAATAAGGCTGGTTTAGGGGGGCCTCTGGCAGGAAAATGCTGCTTTGATCATTATCTGTGCACTCTGATGCTAATGCAGATAGGATGGCAGATGCTGAGAGTGGTTTGTGGGATGTCTGAATATTCATTATCACTATCCTTGTTGTTCCTAGTCATGAGAGCCTTGGGTACTAGGTACTGCATGAAGGCTGGAAAACAGATGAAGCTCAGCTTGGCTTTGGGACTAGGGCACTGCTCAGACCAGAAAACATTCCTATTACCGAAACACAGTAGTTAACAGCTTCAGTCCACTTCTTTGAAGTATATTGTTGTGTTGTCCTTTTTTCTGCTCTCAGAAACTGATTATTTAGCTATAAGGCAAAGCAAAAGAGACAGTAGACTGAGCACGTGAATACACTATGCAAATAGCCAGGCAGAAGCACTGACACAGAGATATTCGCTAATGATGCTGCTCAGTTTCAGGAAGTTCTAGAAAAACAAATCTTCTCTAGAAAGAATGAGGCTTTGTTGTGCAGTGTCAGAGGTGAGACATGGGAGGCAAAGAGGGAAGCGGCGAGCTGATCTTGTCCAGCTGGGTGGGCAGGCTGCCACCACCAGTTTTCCTGCAGCAAGGCAGGGATAGGACACACCACCTTGGAAAGAGGAACTCACAGTTAGACTGGCAGAGAGGTAATACAGGCAGTATCCATATTTTTGCCCCAGGCTCATGGTGTGGCTGTGGGTAAGCTCACTTCTCTGTGCCTCGGTTCCCTCCCCACCCCCCGAGAATGGGAGATGACAGCATTTGTCTGCTCTGCGTTGCTGGGCAGACTTAATTAAATGCTGCAAGACGTTTGGACGTAAGGGACGACAGCAATATAAAGTGGATGATCACATGGGGCTGGAAGGGGAATGTGCATGTGCGAGAAGAAATGTGGATTTTCCATGTGTGGGAGTTTAATTCCATTTTCTGAAATGACAGTGGGGACAGGGAAATCTGGCTCTCTGTGTAAGAGAGAAGGGAAACCCTGGGGTATAGAAAGGAGATCTGCTCGCCTTGCAACTTCTCCTACAGCAGGACCATTTAAAGGCTGCCTAATTTCATGAAACCTGCAAATACAGAATACTTCTGAGACCTCTGCCAAGTCTGGTTAAAATGCACCAACAGATTCAAAACTTAGTGGGGGACATGACAACAAACCAGCCAGTCCTGCCCCATCCCTCTGCCTGCAGAATGACAGGACAAAACTGATT